GAAAAATCTTGAAAATTTAATTCGAGGGAAGTTCCTCTATTTCCTAGTCCTAGCGAATCTGCGCCACTGCGCTCTATAAATAGTGCATTATATGGGCTGCGAGAGAGCCAACGAAAATGTGATTTCATCCGACTTTCCGAGAAGCCCGGGAAACCTTCGAGAAGCTTTCTCTTTCTTCGTCTCGGCATTCTCTCTGTTTTGCAATGTAGCGTGGCACGAAGGTTCGAGGAAAGGAACACGCAACATCGTGTCAGAGGAAATACCCCAGCACAGAGAGTCACCACCGCACAGCTCCTAAAATCGATATTCTTCAACCTTACGGGAGTTATTTTCAATTACAAAACGACCAAGATACCAAGATTTGTCGTGAAAGGAAAAGAAGAAAGAAAAAAAATCTAACGCCCGTGACCCTTTGTGTGACAACGCGTTCCTTCCCTCTTCAATTCATTAAAAGATGCCGCGTTCGACGTTGTCAAAGCAAGTGTTGAGGCAACAATACGATAAAACAAAATATCACCGGAAACTTCTTCACCGTCCGCTTTGAGTCCGCGCGCGTGGTAACAGTCCTGAACCGCATTTATTCGTGATTCGATTTCGATGAAACGCGGTGTACTCCCTTTGACGGAACGTTGATATTCACGACTGATTGAATTGGGACAATGCGTCGAGAGGGAACACTTTGGAAACCGACAACGTATCGGCAGTTACATATACGCTTCTGCACGTTACTTCTGGCGAACGTTTCGCGATCGACAATTCGTCGAGGAAGGCTAGAGCGACTACTCTTGGCAGATTCGTATCATCTTAACGTTTTATCCAAACAGCTCGTGATGGAACGACCGACTCGCATTGAATAGTATGCACGTATCCGAGCGAGAAAGATTTGAAAATAATGAATCTTTTTTATAATGAAGAAAAAAATCAAGGTTCCATTTTGTCCGTAATTTCTGTTTGAGTATATAGTATATACAAACAAATGTTCAAGAAAATTTGTTAACTTGGAGAGACTTATCAAAAATACGGTTTTTTGAATATATTTTTGAAACAAGAGATCATTTTACACAAAAACGGTATCTTCAATAATTTCCGAGATATTTAACGAAATATGTTTCGCACTCCCAACTTTAAAGGTAGTTTTCAAACCATTGCCGATAAAAAAAAAAAAAAAAAAA